AGGAGATGATGAGCAGGTGGAGGGAGAGACGGCAGGAAATGCAGAGATATGGCTCTTGACTTTGTTGCAGCAGAAGCAGAGAACCAAACAACCCTCCAGAATGTGTCTGGCATAATTAACTTGATGTGTGCTGGACGTGCATTAGTTAGTGGTCCTTGAAACGAGCTAAATTAAGCTAAGCTGTTGTCTTAATTAATTATGTTCCATACAATTAATTATTAAACCCATGGAGGAGATCGTGAGTCATAAAGATTTTTTTCCCCTCTTTGGATTTAGGTTGCCAGGAAAAACACGACACTTAGCTCTCGTCACATGATTCAGCCATTTTCTGAATTGGAGTTTTGTTGAGCGCTTTCCACTGAAATTAGATCTTGTTAAAGTTTTCCTCGTTATTCCGTCCTCGATTCAAAGGAAGAGCTGTTCCTGCTCAAATGCAACTAAACAGACGCATTTTGTTTGGGGGTTTTCCAGAACAGGGAAGCTCGCATCGGGTGTCTTCAATATGGGAATGTGGTTAATTTTAATACTTGGTGTGGGTTTCGGGGCGAAAATAACAGACGCATGTCAAAACAGAACATGGCTGAAGTGAGTTTGGTGCTTTAAAGGAGACGGATTCATGTTTTGTGAATGACGTATTGCAAATCACTCAGCAAATACTTGAATGCCCTGACAGGCTGTTGGGAATGGTTTTTAATCATTGTGGGCAAGCTGCTAAAGAGCAGCTTTGTAAAAAGTTAGTCAGCCTTTCCTTAAGCAAAAACATTTCTTAGTGCTCCAGCTGGTGAAGCATCTACGGATCATTATGTTTCCATGTTCGAGGACATTCGTTGCCCCAAGGAAGAACCTAAGGAGTAATAACAACTGGGCCAAGAGTGTCACATTCACTTCAGGTTATGTGCAACACAGAGTCAGTTTGATTCTGAACCATTACAGAAAAAATGTTCCAGTTAGTGTACAAGTGCTCACCTGAGCCAAAGTGAAAGACTCTTACTGCACTCCCCATAAAAAATATGGTGGTATTATTTCTTGTTAGATTATGTTTCTCATTTAAGGATAAGTCTACTGTGCAAAAGTCTTGAGATACCCCTCGTTTATTTTTATTTGGTTAGAAAATGACATACAAGTGCAGTGATTATTTGCTACGTGCAAGGATAAAAGGACATGTGTATAGTATACAAGGCAGAAACAGAGCTTGTACAAATGATCACCTCAATTCTGTCTGTCATAGTGTCCTGATGCCGTGTGCTTTTACTCCTGTTCTCTCATACCTGTGGTGTTGGGGGTTTCTTACAAGTGTGTTCATGGACTCCAATACCCGTTCTTCATCATCTCATCCAGCTTTAGCATTTAAGGACGGGTCTGCCTTCCATTTTGTTTTAGTGGCCCTAATCCCCTTCCATAGTTTCTTGATTACCACTCTTACACTGAGACCATTTCTGATGAAGCTTCAGTGAAGAGCAGATGAATCAACTGAAGGGTCAAATGCATCTTTGAGGTCCTGTGTCAGAAATTGTTGGACTTACATATTTTGTAAGGATATAACTTCCTGCAAAAAGCTTTGTAGGCTTGACGCTTTCTTTTATCCTCCATTTTTCCAGTTGTTTTTTAAGGCTACAGCACACACTGTACTGATATATCTCAAGTTTTTAGTCAAAAGCTCTTTGAGAGTCATTAGCTTTGGCTTTTCTGGTAGATTCAGCTAAAGAAAAGACAACAAATTATGTGTTTTTGTGACAGGCTGGTGGTAACAGTGCAATTTAAAATGGGTTCTTTGCAAAACTTGATTGTTATGTGTAGACACAACACTGGTTCATCCCTTGAGATGTTTTTTATGCCTGGAAAACTGTTGCTTAAGAATATTTTAAAAATGAAAACAAAGTCTGGCTCCTTGGAAACAAAAAATGCAGAAACAAGAAGCACTGTGACAGTGCAAGAGAGCTCACTCTCTGTGCAGTGTTACGTTTAAGGAAACAGTTTTGTCTTTTCTGTATATTCGTTTTGTTTTCTTCATTGCATTTACACATGCACATAAGACAAGGTTAGAATTACAGATTAGACAAATATTATGTAGTAGTAGGTAAAAGATGGATGAGTATATAATATTATACTGCATAATATTTCTTCTGAGCTATTGTGTTTACAGGCATAAAGAATGACATGTGAACGCTACAAAAACATAAGCTGGAGGTAAGGAGGAGTTAAGACTTTTGTACGTCACTGTATAAAAGCAGCCTGAGGAGTTGGCCCACATGTGCTGAGTCTAATGTCACGGGATTAGTGAATGTAGTTTTTGTGAGATCTAAACACATTTCTTGGCATTTATACTCCTGTGTACTAATGCCAGCCTCAGCACATTTTTAGTAAGGAATAAAAATATGTGTGATTGATAACTTTTCTAAAATAATAACACTCTGCAGAAGCCTTCCTGCAGAGCCATCCATGCACTGAATCCTTTGATTCAATTCTGACCCCTTAACAGCATATTCAGCACCTCAGGCTGAGGTGAAAATGTAGCTATTTTGTAACCTTATCGCTCTTATGAACTTAATATAACACCACGGTGGGTAAAACGAACCACTGCAAACAGCTTCTCCGCTGCCTTGTTGATGACAGATTATGTGCAGGAAAGATTACACTTACAGGGCTGTAAGAGGTGGTTTGCACGTGAGAGGTTTATTGGTCAAAACAAGCCAAATAACAGTGAGAGTGGACAACGAGTCTGCCTTCACAAAAATATCCAACGTCTTATATCGAATTTTGTTATCTTTCTCTTAACAAGCTAGGCTGAGTCAGACCACTCACAGGTGGAAATTAATCATTTGTTTCAGCAGAAGAATATAAAATGAATTGGTTTAGTTTCCTACTCGGTGCAAATAAATATATTTTTGTGCTGGATGAATGACTATCCTCCAGACCCTGCTGATGGATGAGTGGTGGAGGGGTTGAAACATGCCAGAAGGAAAGATGGGAAATTTTATCCTAAATAGATAACCAGTTTTGGAGGGTGTGTTTGGTGTATGATGTTCAGATTGCCTGCCTGAACTAGCTCGCGGGCTTCGCTCCATTTGTGTATCCACCAGCACTAATTGACTTTCCACTGGCATTGTTTCAGTGAGCCTGGCATGTCATTTTAATACAGCACCGAGCTGTAACAGCTCTTTGTACACTACTCTGTGATATCTGGTTGGGGGGAGGTTGGTAGTTTTGGGGGTTTTCTTGCATTTTATAATTTGTTTGGTTGCAGAATACTTTTAATACAAGTAGACATTAAACAGAACAAAATGAACTTACCTACAGTCATGTTATAACGCACCACATGGAGCAAGATTTTATTTTGATTTTATTTTGATGTGATTAAATCAAATTCATTTGATTTAATCACATCAGCTGCTACATACTGGAATCACCTGCTCTTCATGGATGAGCTTCAACCTTAGAGGAGGTTTGCAGTCACTGAGTCAGCAGAGCATCCGTCACTTATATTCACTGTATGTCTCAGCACTCGGCCATCCCGCTCTGGAGCTTACGTGTTCTGTCACTTAGCTGAGGTGCTATGATTCCTAAATGCATCAACTTTGCAATATTAATGCTTGCATTTTATGCATTTTATGGAATATCTGTTAAGGAAGAAACGTTAGGAATGGACTTGTTGCAGCGTCAGCATCGTGTTACCGTGCACTCGAGTTCAGTGAGCTCTCTATTTTTCCCCATTCTCTCAGAGATGTTTGCAAAGGCAGGCTGCTAAATCTGCTCTTTATTGTAAACTCTATTTTGTTGTGAGAGAACATATTAGCTTTGATGATGAGTTAAGTTCTGAATGCTGCTGTTGTGTTTTTAAAGCTGTTCATAACTCCTACAGTTACGTGATTATTCAGCATACAGTAAGTGGACACCACGTGGTTATTGAGCATGTCATTTTAACAGCACTCAAATCTGCTCCAGTTGTTGTTTTTGGCTTTCGATCTGAGCTTTGAACCAGATTTGATCCCATTCGTGCATAAGAGCGTTAGATAGGTCTGAAAACACTGCTGGGTGATTGGGCTTGCAAGATGTCTGACGTTATCATTTTTTAAGAAACAAAAGCAAATTCATAGGAGAACAGTGATGTTATCAGAATTCAAGTCCAATATATATATTTGATCATTTCTGCAACACTTGTGGATTTAATGCAGGTAGGCTGCACTGCTCCCTCTATGGATTAAAATTAGGACGGAAACTTGCACAATATACAACTTGTAAGGTTTTATCAGCTTTCCAAACATATCAGGTGATTATATGGAATTTCCAAAAGTATTTTCAAGGCAGATTTTCTGCAAACTCTTAGAAGCTTCCCTCCTGTCCTGTCTGAACAGCGTGTGCAGGGCGAGCCGTGTAGATTTGAACTCGGCACGCTGTTGCCATGAGCGAGGGATAACCGCCTGAGTCCGTGTAATTGCTTTGCTGAGCGTTATGTAACAGGAGTAGTTTTGTTGCAGATTCGGGATAATTTCAGCAGCAGCAGCAACAGCAGGCACAAAGCCTCCTCGCTGCTGGATTATTCAGTATATTTCATCCAGTGTATTCGCTTACGCTTCTCCTCGAGTTGTCCTGTTTCTCAGAAAGAGAAAAAAGGCGTGCCCAGTAGCATTTAATATTACATTTCTTACACTCACTTGTTACTTTTTCCAATTCATATTGTCAGGATGGACTAAAGTCAATCTCGTGGAATAATGAACTTACTCCATATCAAAAACAAAGGCCCTTCAGTTTCATTGTCTGTGATATACCTGGCCACATATTTTTATGTGGAAGGAAACATGATGCTCAGGCCTACAAAGGTTATGCAGATAGTTTTCAGCTTTGTTCCACAGAACAGTATGGGGAAGACCCATTCCTGTTTCAACATGATAACACCCCTGGCTATGTGCACGTAGCCACGGGTGAAATACCAACCAGTAATTTGCCATGTATGTAATGACTCTTCTTATGATAACAGATTTCATTAATAATGAAATGAACTGTTTAATGTGCTATTATGTTTTATTACACATAAACACATTACATGGTGGTTAGCAAAGAATAACAGGAAATGCTTTTTTGTATCATTTATACTGGACAAAAATAACAGGATAGAGTCCAGTTTGATCCTGTATCTGATCCTAAGGAGTTCCAGAATATCGGAACGATGTGGGTTTTGCTTTGGGGTGCAATGGTGATGGACAGGCTGACAGATAAGGTCAGGCAGGAGTCTCTATGAATTATGATGTTTGCAGACAACATTGCGATCTGTAACGAGGAGCCGGCAGGTGGATGAGAGCCTGGAGAAGTCAAAGTATGCACTGCAAGTCTGTAGAAGCAAGAAAGAATCTGTGCGTGAATGAGACGGAGGCAGATGGAAAGGTGAAAGTGCAAGGTGTAGAGGTCGAGAGCTTAAATACTTGGGCTCAGTCATTCAACACAATTGAGTGAGGTAAAGGAGAGAGTGCAGGCAGGGTGGAGTGGGTGGAGACGAGTGTCAGGGGTGATTTGTGACACAAGGATAGCAGCAAGAGTGAAAGGGAAGATTTACAGAAGAGTGAGACCTGCTGTGATGTATGGCTCGGAGGTGGAGGCATAGATTGGAGTTGAAGAGGCTCAGAGCTTCATTGGGAGTGACCCGGATGGACAGGATTAGAAATGCGTATATGAGAGGGACAGCTCAGGTCGAGCTGTCTGGTGTCACAGCTCTCCAACCCTGCTGGTTTCTGTTTGCCTATTCTCATTGTGTGGATGGAGGCATTATGCTTACCTTTTTTTGAGAGTGGTCCTCCTTGGTGCCCGTTCTCCACCCATGTTACAGGCACACCTAAGTGTACACACTAGACAAAGATAAAAATAGGACAAGAGGAAGATCACAGAGAGGATCTATGGATGAGATGAAGGCAGATGTAAGACCCCCTAATGGGAACAGTTCAAAAAGTGAAGATTTTTGGGGTTCATTGCAATGCAAATTGTCACAAATAAGGACCCAAAGAAGGACAGCAGAAGTAGAGGTGGTAAATCCACAGGTGCTACATGGGTGGGCATCATAGACTGTTTAAAGTGAGCAGTAGTCTTAGACTTCAAATTTGGAAGCCTCAACCAGCAGTGGCCATATTTGGATGAGCAAGTGGAATGCCAAGTCCTGAGGTAATGCTAGATGCTTGGTTGTCTGTATATCTGTAGTTTCACGTGTCATACTTGTCAGATTATTTTATTAAAATGCTCCAAAGGGCTCCGATAGCTGGAGAGGCAGACAACGACCCGCTGCAGCTGCCTGTGCCGCTACACGGAGGCGCCTTAAAGCTGCATTTAGTAAATTAATGTGACTATTAGAGTCAGACAGGAGGATATCCGGGGTATGCCTATAAGCTAACAATCACAAGTCATTAGCCAATCAGCTTGCAGTGTGCTGCCTGCCACAGCAGTCGTAACATCATAATGTGGATCCAGGCAGATATGCTGTGTTTTACAATATTAACCCCCCCTCTGTAGCAGATAGGCACCATTAAAAGTACGCTGAATCATTTATTAGCAGTTCCTGTTTGCAAAACAGTCACACATGAATGGCCAGCTGTCATTGGATTACTTTCAAGCTGAATATAACTAAAAATAAAAATGAGATAATTTGCAGGCAAGTTTTCAGCTGACAGGGACAAACTTTTATCCCTTTGTTTTTACGGAGGAGTCGCTCCAAGACGTACCTGTTCACCTGCAGTGGCAGCATTTCCACGTCTCTAAGGGTCCTCGGAAACTTGTGGCCTCGACCTTTGTGCATATTTTCTCATTATCTCATTCTTCTGTCTTGGACTTACTGATTTAAACAGTTTTCTACCTTTCTCATATCAGAATCAATATCACTTCAGCTGACAAGCAATACAGTTTTTTGTACTTCTGAGAAATGTTACCAAACATTTTTAAGTTTTTGGGAGATGGTGAGCATATTTACTCGTTGTACGCTGATCACATTAAGCAGGATTTACGTTTTGCCCAGTTCTCTTGAAACAAAATTGAATTTTTTACACTTCAACAGGAGAAAATGACCTGATTCTCTTATGGCCAAAGGAGGACGTTCCGGTTCCACGTATCACTGGGTCACGCAGGCCTTATCAGATACAAGAAACTATGTACATTTTAGAGCGTTTCTGTCTTTGTCTGTGGTGTACGTGCAAAAATGAGTCCTCTTAAACTGTGAGAAAACTCTGTGGAGGGAAATTTGTGACGTATGAGAAGAACAAAACGTGTGTTGTATGAAAGCGGTCAGCTGAAGGCAGCATCATGCCCCCGAATCACTGCGGCAGAGTTAGTCAAGGACGCATAAAAAACAAATTCTAAGAACTCCGGCCCTTTGAAAATGTGATTTCCAACTGTGACTCTGGACTACAAAGACTTGTGTGTACAGGCAGAGAGGATTGCACAGTTTAACGAAGGATAAAGTCGACATAGGACATTCAGATTTCAAGATATTTATCATGAAAAGCGCTATACAAATACAGGCCATTTACCATGATGTTTGCTGTCTAGAAAAAAAAATCTGTGTACGTGACTTAGCTATATTCAGTTGACATAAGATAAAAGTTGCCAAAGTGGTCTGTGCTTACCTTCAGCCGTTCGGTCAGACTCTGCTGTCTCGCCTCGCAAAGGAAAAACTTCCTCTGAGTGTTGTCCTGGGGAATATTATGGGATATCACGGGGGCATTCACCGTGATGAATTTGTGCCACGTCTTAAGTGTGCTCGGTGAAAAAAGGTAGGCACATTTCCATGACTATCTATATTCTAAATGCATACAAATCCCACAGGAAATACCATTAATAATGCTTTCTAGTACTGAAAAGTGTGTCACACAGAGGAGGCGGTCACACAGACCCAGTCCTGCACATCTTTAAAACCCAACCTGACAATACACGGCACTCCACATCCACACCAATGACAGTGAAGAATACTTTTTTAAACGTATGTTCATACTCTTCTCATATCCACCATATGTCTGCATACAAAGTACTACTGTTTTGTTACTTTGTTACTTTACATCTAAATACACAAACTCCTACTCACTGGACTTCCACCTTAATGAGGGCTGTTTGGGAGGAAGTCCAGAAGCAGTTTACTTCTACGAAGCTTTAGCCCAGCTCTCTCCCTCATTGTGTTCAATACATTATTTATTAGGCAAAAGAAAAACTGAATTCATGTTTTATACCCAAATTTGAGCTGTTTGATGTCAGAAATTAATCAAACATAACATTCAACCACTAAAAAATGCTAAAAGTAAATAAAAGTAAAGTTTTATTCTATGAATAAAAGATAACAGTTGTAAAAATAAATAAATAAAGATAAATAAATACAGTGTAAATATATAGGTATGGCATATACTGTACTTATGCCCGTGTCCTCAGCATAAATGGCATTATTTCACAGGTGAGAAAGCAGCAACAGGTGTGACAGAGGTGCTTACACTTTAATCAATTCATTATAAACTAATTTATCTACTTATCCTTCTATGGAAGCTTTATGGGTGTGTTTGGTGTTTCACACACAGCGTCTGCATTTTGGCTTAATTTTTTGTTAAATAAATAACGACATGATATAATGTGTGTTGTTGTTCATCTGAGATCATATTTACTGAATTACGAGACCTCCAGAGGATCCGAAGGTTCATTTTGTGTTCTGTTTGCACTAACGTGTCTCCATCTACTCATACAGCCAACATTACGTGACATTTCAAACAGTGTCTGATAAAATGATCACATCTTCTCTTCATCCGTTCATTTTCCTCGTGGTTCAAGGTTGCAGTCGGCTGAAGTCTGAGGGTAAATTAAATGCACTGAGTCATCGTTGCAGCTAGCTGTTCTGTTGTATTTTACATGAAGAGAGTGATTAAATGTTTGGCATGAAAAACAAATAAAGAGAGATGAGATGATAAATGGCAAATGTCCTTGGCCAACAACACAGTTTCTGAATGATCCAACAGTTTAACACTTCCTCACACACCCCCTGGAGAGCATCACACAATTTGAAAGGCAAATTCAAAATACTGTAACAGCTTGAATTTCAGGGACAAGAGGACATTTCCAATCAGCGGGGCTTTGAATCTAAACTAAATAAGACTTTAAAGGCATGGTGTGATGCTCTGTGACAGGATTTAACCCCTTCTAGCTTCAGTCTCTGTCTGCATTTCAGTTCCTTGCTTTAAATTTTTATTATCTGCTAATAAAATAAGTTTTCCTCAGCTCGTCATTCTTGTTATTTCTGTTTTTCTAGAGCATTTTTGTGGCGACGACAGGGTCCAATCATTAAAAACAAACAGATAGGCAGAGCCAGCAGTTGATACTATGACTCAGCCACTACAAAACTAGAAAGCATGAGTTTCCATGTGCCACGACCTGCACAGACAGAGTTTCAGCCGGGCAACACCCATTGGATAAAAGTAGGTCAAGTTTACATTCACGTCATTCTCCGCTGTGGAATTACAGTGGACCGTTTCCCTGTTGCTCAGATTTACAGTTGAACGCAGCTGCTCTAAGAAGCTCGTTTTGTCGTGCCTGAGAGAAAGACTGTGTAAAGTACACAAAAGCAGGAGCTCATGTTCGAATATGAGCATGCACTAACCCTGAGGAGCAACTGTAGCAATCAGGAATCTGTGCCGTTATCACAAAACCAAGCTGGTTCATTTACTGGTCCGAGGTGGGAACATATTCGCATCCAAATGAGTTTAAATAACTCTGACATAAAATATTCTTAAATAAAAGTTTTTTGCTCATATGTTGCTTAGGAAGTTTAAACCTCGGTGAAAAAAACCACCCAACAAACAAAACAAAACCCCCCCAAATGCTGTTCGTGTACATTTTTCTGTGTAATGTAGTAAAAATGATTTAAATGTGTTTTTAGGAGGAAAGCGCCCACACTCGTAATGTTTTAAATGCTTTTGGTTGGCCTGAAAAAGAACATTTGTTGTTTTTTTTGTATAGCTGAGGTACAAATCCAGCGTAACTGATGGGCTGCAACATGTAACAGATTTTACATTTTGGCATAAATCCTCCAATTTCCTTGAGGTTGTAGCAAATATTGGAAAATTATATGGTTTCATCTGAACCGTTAAACATTTCACTAATAGGCTACAGATTATAACTGACATACGCTTGAAGTTTCGTGGTGGGCATGTGTGGGCGAGCATTACACAACCTGTTGTACAACCCACTTTTTAGCAAAACCGCGTGACATTCATTTAAAAGTTCAAAGACAAGAAATGAAAATTGACCCTTGTTGTTCATAGCGTGCTAACTGTGCACATCCTGGATGTTGCTTTGAAACTGATCGTTTAGCATTGATGGGACCCTCACTTATATGTAGAACAGTTATTCTATCTGCCTTAGCTTAAACCTCATTGAACGTTTTTGAACTGCATGCCGATAACAAGCCAGACAATTGTCCTTCTCTTTAGAGGACACAGCGTCCGGAGAGTCTTTCTGAATCTGTCTAATATTTCTATTTTTCTCTGCATGGTACAGTTTTAACTTTCAAGTGTTCCTAAGTTTGTGTTTCTATGCAGTGACCTGCAGCCTGGTCCTTACAGCCTAGTTCATTCCTTGAAGAGGTCTCTCCATATTCTCTGAATCTTTTAATAATTGTATGCACTGTGCATAAAAGAAAGTCCCAAATTCTTTGCATTTTTTGTGGGAGAAACTTGAAATTGTTGAAGTTTTTACCTATCAATTTATTCAATTAATTAACATCGATTAAAACAATAAAACTAATAAAACCCAAACAATTTCTAAAATGTAATCATTAATAATTGACTAGATTTCTCGATCTGACTTTAAAACTGGCTCTGAACCCTCCTCGAGGTTAGATAATACTGGGAGATGTCACATTTTCTCAATTTTTAAGGCATTTTTCATTTTATTTTGTTTGTTCTTTGGTGATGCACATTCCAAAAATGGCATTTAATAAAACCAGCAGCTAAAATTGTGACTTCTGGTATCTCCAAGAATCTGGAGTCCTGGGGCAGTTGTTTGCTTTGCAGATAGTCTGATCTAGCTCTTGTGGAACAATTCATGGAAAATGCCCTTGTTGTGCTGAAATAACTTCTCTTTTTTTAAGGGGGGGCAGGGAGGGGGGGGGGCAAAGGAGACAGATATTTAATGACCTCTACATAGTTTTATGGATAGTGCTTTGGCTATCTGGGGGTTTTGTAGTGTAGTATGTATATTTCTTTGCAACTATGGTGAGAGGGCAGGGTGAAATAAGATAATAAAAAGGTTTTATTCATCTCCATAAAATCTTTTATGACAAAGATGCTTGGCCTAGTAAAATAAATATGTACGTAATAAACTTCTGGTGGCTTTGAGAGTTCAAATTGACTCCAACCTAAGAAAACACCAGCAAATAAAGAAATGCTGCAAAAGCGCACAAACCACAATGATTTAGGTGAGACAATAAAGTGACAAACCGGCTGTGGAAGTGACAGAAACCAAAAGATCCAATGGACAGAAGTGAAATGCGCTGAAAAGATTGTGAGGAAGAAAAAGATGCTTTTGGTGCATTTTTCTACTACAGCTGTTAGTTTTGGGTTTTACTTCTGCTGTATTTTGTGAGCCTTGGCAGCATTTTTATTTTTTTATGATATTTTCTTATTTTGCAGTGCATTTGGTCTCTCAGGGCCAGACTTCTTCTGGACACGATCTATCCTGTTATACGTTATACATGTATTTCATCATATTTTGAAAGGCAGTGTTAAATAACACTTTTACATGCCAGTTTAAACTATAATAATCTCTATATTAATATTTCCCCTAAAAAACTGAAAAATAATTAAAAGTAAATCTAAATGTATGTGTACTTGCTAGACACGTACTTTGATTAAAGCCAATGTTTCCGACTGTCACTGAACGCACCTCTGAAGCAACTCTTTTTTCTTTTTTTTCCGAACGCGCCGCGCTCCCCGCCCTCCCGGTGCTTTGACGTCACCGGCATCCGTCTCCGCACATGGATGGAGGAGTGTAGGAGCTCTGACAGCGACACTCCTCCCTCTGCCCTCCTCCTCCAGCTATTTGCCAGCCGCCCTCGACGACAGACAGCCAGCCGCTCGCCGACCTGCTGCTGCGCGGAACCCTATCGTCTCCCTCCGAGCACCGGCGTCGTTTATTCCACCTGCGCGGGACCTTCACGGACCGGCCAGCGAGTTCGGTCGCCTCTTTTTCTTTTGTTTGGGGGGAATTTAAGTCTTTGTGAGCTTTGTTCTCAAATTGCCCTTCAAGACATATGGAGAAAATGGCCAGACCTCTTCCTATAAACCCAACTTTTCTGCCGCCGACTCACGGCGTGCTGAAATCCCTGCTGGAGAATCCGCTGAAGCTGCCTTTCCACCACGATGAAGGTACGTTTAAACCGGGCCAAAACTTGAAGCCGCGAGCGCGCACTCTCGGCCGTGGTGTTTACGTGCGGGCTGTTGTGGTCATTCAGTGCGTAGATTTGACAGATCGGAGGCGATGAAGGACACTGGTTCGCTAAATCCATCAGCTGTGACTTTCCTGTTAACGTTTTTACGACGTTTGTCGATGTAACGTTATTTATCACAGATCGCTGTCCGTATCTGTTAAATGTGAGTTGACTGACAGGTTGACGTGAACTTTGGCTCGAGCTGTTTAGCATGTACTTGTCATGTAAATTAGCGCAGTGCGTGTTAATTTGCACGCTATGTGCTCCCGACTGCGCCGTTTTGAGCTTGCGGGCTCCTTCTGCAACCTTTAAACCCGCTCGTCTTCTGTGGGATTTACAGTAGCGCCACCTCTGGCTGCCGATAGAGGGCGTCGTTTCCGTTATGAAGCTGCTGCTGTTTGCGCTCTGTTTGGATTCTTGGATGCATTGAGTGAAAATGTATTTAAATATGAGTGGAGAGCAGGTTATTAATTTTTAAAAGGTGATTCCATCCAAGTTACAGGTTTCTATGTGCATTTCTATGGTTTTATTTGTCTGTGGTGTAAAATGTTGGACTTTTGTCACCGCTTCAGCACACTTGGAGCCAATACTTTTAATGTTGCTTACATTATTGGAAGATGACACACTGAAATCCCATCAGAAATAATTTATTGGCGTGTTTTAATAAGTTAACATATTATTTTTTTGTTATTTTTAACATCTGGTGCTTGCACAGATAAATAAAGTATTTTAAATTCGGTTAATCGTTTAATTTGGTCCCTTTTTGGAAAATTGGTTAAACTGACCCTTTTTTTTTAACATGAGACCCTGTCTATTTATAACCAAGATCTGACCCGTGATTTCCCTCAATAAAGCAAGACAATAAAATGACTGTGTGCAAACATTTGCAGGATTCGGGAAGGACAAGGAGAAGGAGAAGAAGCTGGACGATGAGAGCAGCGCAGCCAGCCATCCACAGTCGGCTTTCCTTGGCCCGACCCTCTGGGACAAGACCCTGCCCTACGATGGGGACAACTTTCAGCTGGAGTACATGGACCTGGAGGAGTTCCTGTCGGAAAACGGCATCCCCGCCAACTCGGCCCAGAGCGACCAGGCCCCGCAGACGGCGCAGCCGCCGCAGGCCCCTCTGCAGCAGGCCCCGCCACCTGCCCCGCCCACGCCCTCCGTGGTTGACCTCAGCAGCCGTGCCACCACATCGGTTCACACGGGCATGGCGCCTCAGACCTGCCTCCACAGCCCCAGCACAGCAGGTAGGCAGCCTATGCAGTGGAGCCTATCATGCACCTCGAAATACTCGAGGCCACGTGAGTTAGTTGTACCCTTTCAGTGTCGGGGTGGGGGGGCGGAGGCCTCGAGAGGTCCGTCCTCCTGTTTGCTCACCTGGTGCAAGCACACTCTCGCCACATTTACTCACTATCAGCCAGGACGCTGAGACAGAACAATATCTTGTGCGTTTTCTCATTTAGCTCCTGATTGGAGCGTTGCATCGCACCTTAAATTCACCCTGACACACTTTAGTCCTGTTATACAGCCCTGCACTGAACTTTGGAGCGCCTGTAAGAAAGCTCAAGTTCAAGGGTGGTGTACAATCTCATTCACAAAGCTCCGATTAGCAGAACAAATCTTCCCGCACCAACCGTGTCAGGCATTAGTCATGGTTGTTTTCTGTGTTGTGTTTCTAAAGTTGTATTGTTGCCTTCAGATTCACCCTTTTAAAGTTAGTTTCCATCGTCTTCATTCAGAATAAATCCCTGCTGGGTTTGGCAAACACTGACATCGGCTGTTTACATTACTCAGAAATGTGACTCAGAGACTACTACATACTGCTGAGCTTCATTTAGTTTGCACACATACTTCTTTTCAGCTCGGTGATGTGACTTTTGAATGAATTTTAAGGTGCCGTCTAATTATTTCTTTATTGGTTGCATGAAATCCTCAAAGCATTTTAGGTGTTAGAACCATGTTTTGTTTCGGTGCAGAGCTCCAGCGTTTCAGTGACGTGTTGATAAGCTAAAGCTCCTCATCCAGGAAGATTTCTTTTATTGTAATGAGCTAACATTAAGTGGGCAGTTTGCATTCAGGCGGAGGCGCTAAACTGTGTGACTGAGTTTGTTAAGGCGCTGCCAGATTCTGTTTGGGTTTTACGCCAGACACCAGAAGGATTGAAGTCAGTTTAAAGGACCGGCCTTCGGTACGAATGTAAACGGAGCGAGGTCTCTGCATTTAAAGGGAAGCAAGAAGTTCTTTATGTTTGTTACTCGATGCTCAAGTGGGGGCGTCCTGATTAAGTGAGTGCCTAATAGTTTGAGTGATATTTCAATGACACAACTGATAATCAGGATGAACGTGGACTGATCTGACCAAAGACTTTGGATGATAATAGAGGATGACTGGTGATTTGGCCTGACATCAGATGGGTCAAGGTCGACTCCTCGTCTATAAAATCACTCTTTTCTTAAAAGCCGCAAACAGAGTCCCGACATAAATGCTACGCAGCTGTTGTACTGGCACCTGAAAAGAAAACTCCCCCTCAGCGCGTCGTGCCTCTGAGTTTGGAGATTAGGAAGGAACAAACCTTGATGAGGTATTGTCAGCATTGTGTTGGCTTTACTCTAATATGCTAAATACATTACACAGCACCAAATCTTAGCTCTTGAACCAAGTTGGGTCATGGAAAGCTACCAAAATATTACCAGGCGTTGATAAGAAAGAAGGTTCAAATGAAAGTTTAATTAGCTACATTTTATTGACCAAGTGGCTTTTACAAAGACACTGAAACGTTCCACTGCGTCCTCGTTATGTATATGAAAGCCGATGATTAGTATCGGCATTGATTGATATCTGTGTCGTTCTTTATGCTGATTAAGTGCTCAAAGATGGTGTGATGAAGAGCTAGAAGACATAATAAAGACTTGATCGCATTCGCGGCACAAAAAGTCGAATCAGTAACAAAAAAACTGCATCTTTGGGTAACCCGATAAAATATCCAGCTGTTACATTTGTAACACCTGTTGCCTTTTAAGCCTTTCTATCCATAAAACAGTAATAAAAACCAAATATTATGACCTTCACCTCTCAGCGTTTGCGCTGACATAGCTTACACTGCTATCTCTTCATGACGCAAGTGACTAATAGTGGCGCTCTCTCTGACGCTGTAATTGGCCAAAGTTTCTGTGGTGTCGGCTGTGAGTTTCACAGTGTTTGCACGACAACAATAGCGAGGCAAACATTTAGAAAAGTGTGATTTTTATTTTTTATATTTATATATAGACCATTTCCTGTTCCCATTTATAATAAAATCAAATGAATAGACTTAATAACATCATTTTAACAACACCCAGCACGCCCCTGCGGGCGGTTTATCCTTCAAGCTCGGGTCCTCTACCAGAGGCCTGGGAGCTTGAGGGTCCTGCGCAGTATCTTAGCTGTTCCCAGGACTGCGCTCTTCTGGACAGAGATCTCCGATGTTGTTCCTGGGATCTGCTGGAGCCACTCGCCTAGCTTGGGAGTCACCGCACCGAGAGCTCCGATTACCACGGGGACCACCGTTACCTTCACCCTCCACATCCTCTCGAGCTCTTCTCTGAGCCCTTGGTATTTCTCCAGCTTCTCGTGTTCCTTCTTCCTGATATTGCTGTCATTGGGAACCGCTACATCGATCACTACGGCCGTCTTCTTCTGTTTGTCTACCACCACTATGTCCGGTTGGTTAGCCACCACCATTTTGTCCGTCTGTATCTGGAAGTCCCACAGGATCTTAGCTCGGTCATTCTCCACCACCCTTGGGGGCATCTCCCATTTTGACCTCGGGACTTCCAGGTTATACTCCGCACAGATGTTCCTGTACACTATGCTGGCCACTTGGTTATGGCGTTCCATGTATGCCTTGCCTGCTAGCATCTTGCACCCTGCTGTTATGTGCTGGATTGTCTCTGGGGCATCTTTACACAGCCTGCACCTGGGGTCTTGCCTGGTGTGATAGACCCCAGCCTCTATGGATCTTGTGCTCAGAGCTTGTTCTTGTGCTGCCATGATTAGTGCCTCTGTGCTGTCTTTCAGTCCAGCTTTGTCCAGCCACTGGTAGGATTTCTGGATATCAGCCACCTCCTCTATCTGCCGGTGGTACATACCGTGCAGGGGCCTGTCCTTCCATATATATATATATATATATATATACACATGTGTATGTATGTGTGTGTGTATATGTATGTATGTATATATAGGTGTGTAGGTGTGTGTGTTCTGCTTGGGTCTGTCTCTGTCTGCCTCTTCACATTTGTCTCTCACGTGAACGCGGCTGGGGTTTCCTGCAGCATGCCGGGCCATGTGACGGACACATGCAGGCGCCGTGTGCAGCGCTGAGCTGCAAACAGGAGCTTGTCACGGCATGAAACCTGCCCGCTTCTCTTGTCTCCTCCTCCCTCCGTCTCTCACTCACTCTCACTTTCACGCTCCCCACCTCTCCTTCCCTCCCTACAATGCTGTCCACTTCCTGTCCAGTCTTCCTCCCCCTCCCTCGCCGGGCTCAGCTCTAAAACAGCCTCGGACTCAGAGCCAAGGCACAGACTGTACCCTGCAGAGATCACATGGACTCGGGTGTGCTTCGGTCACGTGAGCGCAATATTGTTCCAGCTCAGCGAGTCTAGTCTCGTCTAACCAGCCACACTGCCACCGTCGTCTAGCGATACAGGCAGCTGATAAGTTATCACAAGCAACAAACAAATAAAAGAGAGGGGGATGGTTTTCCTCAAACTAGCGGTTGGTTCAGAAGATGGACTCTGCTACACCGTTGGCAGGAGGCAAAGGGGAAGTCAGATCTAGGAGGGGTCAAAGGATGTGTTGTGGCGCATTCCACTAAGTTATGAAAGGTGGCTTGATGAGGGGGAAAATGAGCCGTGGCGAAAAATATCTCTCCGCTTTGTTGTTGTGGCCAGTTTCCGCTGGTCTTGTGGAAATGGTAGCTTTCCTCTGCAGGACCAGCCCGTCCTGCATGAGTGCCCTCGAGGAATGAAGTCCTGTTGACTTACAAGACACGGAGACAAACAAAATCTACGCACTTATTATAATGAATGGGGTGGGGTGGGTGCACGGTCTTAAGGGAATTTGGTGCTTCACTGTAATTTTAATAGTTTTAGACACCAATGGAGCCCCATGGCCCAGAAGTATAATTAATATCTGATTTAGGACGCTTTAATCAAATTTGTTTTGAGTTGGTGCATTTTTTTTTACCTTGCCACTAGGATTTTTACGTCATGCAAATACGTTTTGACTGCCAGCTTAAAGAAGCATCATTTAAAGGCAACATAGAGGAACAGCACTTGTGGCCTTTAACGCTTTTGCACAGTATCGAGTGACTGCTGTTGGGCTCGTGTCACTCCGAGGTCAGAGTTCTGCTGCACTTCCATCCCCGCGCACAGATATGACCACCAGCTCCGCTTATCGCCGACCGTCGTGTTATCACCCACGCAGCCACATGATTACACTCACAGTAAGCTCGATACGATCATTTAGCGTGACAACAGCCTGTAACCAGCGGCGCACCGAAAGAGATAAAGTCCACAAAGGAAAACAAGTTCCACGGGTATTTCTCAGCTCAATCCTGCTTTCCCACAGCTTTTTATAAGACAGACTACCTTTCATGCCTTGTTAATTTTAGATTTCCTGGTCAGGGAGGGAACTATTTTGTGCATCCACATTCAACTACTTCCTCTCCCCTGGAATGTGCGGTCCATTAGTTTAGGATACTGCAGGTCAATGAACGGGCTTGTGTTGTAACTCTGGTAATTAGGAGATCCCAGTGGCTCGTAAAGGTGATTAGGGTGAGGTTGGGTATTTGCAGGTTGGCAGACAAACTCCAGTTTTAGTTGGTAAGAGGCTTTGCTCTCCAGCAGGGCTCGGTTTATGAATGGTGGTGGAAGAGAGTTCAGCTATTTGTATCTTAGCTTACAGACAGATGTATCTCTACTCTGGAAACGGTGACTCTACTTACCGACCCGACCTTAGTTGACTTGCTAAAAGATATTATTAAAAACACCTTATTCACCAAACAAGTCATCAGTATTGCTCGTTGTCTAACCCGCAGCCTTTATCTCAGATTGAGGTTTTTTTTTTTAAGCATCTATACTCATAATTATAACATTGAGAATAAATAAAAAAAAGCCCACAATACCATGATAGACCAACAGGGGGCTACAGCCCACATTTTGGGACCACAGCAAAAAATATGTTGACATATCAAAAGCTGGTATTAAATCTGTTCTTTTATTATATAATTCCAGTTTTTTCAAATAAGTTTAATGCTGAATTTTCAAGAAAGTTAATAAAGAGGTTGAAGATATCCAACTGTAACCATTCCCAGAAAAAATGCCAGAGGAAATTCCCTTTTCCTCAGATTTATGAGCTGATAATCGGTCATTTTAATACTCCTGCATCGTTTTTTCCGAACAAACCTGCTTCAATGTTGTTTTCCTTTTACTTTCTATGAGAAATCCGAAGCAGGGTGGCCACTCTCTCGAGGTTTTCTTGTCATGTGATGAAGGAACCGTCACTTCCTGTGGTTGGGATGGTGCCTCTTGAGGGGCAGACAGATGCAGAGTGAGCTCAAGGATTCAGTCTGTTTCTGTTTTAAATGCAAGTGTTCTCAAACCTCCACGGCATCCAAAAGCAGAAAGCGGTGCGACTGTGTGCACGCTGGATGAAGGTCTGCAGCATTCATTGGCCATGGCCGCTCACAAGTCCAACAATTTGGGTCGTGATGTATGAGCTGCCAGTGGATCGGCAGCTCGTGGGAATGTAGGCCGCTGTGACTCGCTTTATTCGCTGTTTTTTTTTTTTTCTAAGTGGGGAATACAAATGGGGTTTTTAATCACAAAACTAATTAGTGCTAATGTGATGAATCACTCAGTAAATGTTCAGCGAACTGGACTCGTTGGCCCTCAGCTTGAGATTGGTTGGAGAAGTCTCACACGACAGGCAGGTAGAGATGGGGGGAGGGGGCTGCTGATAGCTTTCAAGATGGTTTGAGAGTTGACTTCCTTGAGATCTCTAGACAATCAGTGAAATCAGCAGTATTAACAGTTCATTATAATAAGCGCGTAGATCTTGTTTGTCTTCGTGTCTTGTAAGAAGTGAGGCCTGTGTGTGTGTGTGTGTGTGTGTGTGTGTGTGTGTGTGTGTGTGTGTGTGTTTCTTTGTCCTTTTAAAGCTTGTGTGCTTGCACCACCTGCTGGGCAAATGAGGCACAAAGATTGTCTTCTATAAAAGTAGCCACCTGTCCTCAAGTCAAAGCCTGACGTCTCCTCCTGCTGCTCTAAGATGTGTGCATTCAGAGGAGAGAAAGAGCGTCCTCCTTTGTCCTTGGTCCAGCTTTAGAGCTGCTGATTGGGCCTCACCCGTGTTGCCTCGCTGCTTTCTTTAAATAGAAGTACAACTCAGAACCTTAAGGGCGCTGCTTCTGCCAAAATTAGAGGTGCTTATTGTTTAGGTCCTGCTGATTTCAAATCACGAAAGGCTTTCAACATGTAGCTCTTGCTGAGAGAATTGCATGCTTCTGCGCACTTACTGACAGCTAATGTGTCTTTTGTCCTCAGCCCGGGACACCCCCAGCCCCATCGACCCAGAGTCCATTCAGGTGCCCGTGACCTATGACCCCGACCCAGCAGACCTGGCTCTGTCCAGCGTGCCGGGCCAGGAGATGTTTGATCCGAGGAAACGCAAGTTCTCTGCCGAAGAGCTGAAGCCACAGCCGATGATCAAAAAAGCCCGCAAGGTCTTCATCCCCGAGGACCTGAAGGTGACCCGCTGCTCCGTCTCTTTGTGTTTGTGTTTATAGCCGTGTGAGATCAGATTTCATGTTCTGGCTGAAATGCCGTTATGTAAGAATGTGAGAGTCTGAAGCAAGTTAAACAATGAGGGGGAGGAAGACTTTTGAACTATAAGCAAAACAATCTGTGTTCTTAAATTCAAGTCATGCAAAAAAAACAAAGATAATGGCTACATTCAAGTTGGAGATAATATTTATATATCAATTAAAAAAAGGGTTTTGCATTTGAAATGTGGGACTGGGGATCATTTAAAATTTATTGAGCGTAGCGATTTTGCAGGGTTTACACCTAAATCCCGGATGAGCCCCCATTTGTTTCCCCAACCATACTTATGAATAATTATTTCACTGAAAAGGAATACACATGAAATCTGTAAGTCTGCACTAACGGTGTAAGTGATGCATGTATGAGTCGTGCATGTGCAGCAAAACAAAACAACTATAATTCGAACAGTAACGTGTTTCTGTTCTCGCTCACAGAGAGGTATGCTCGAGACAACTATATTAGGAATGTCCCCTATTTATGACATCATACAGAGCCAAAAGTAGGAAAAGGTACTAAAACTTTAGTGTTTAGAGCATCATTATTTGTGAGCACGTTAAATATGAGCATTCACCCTTTTAACTGTGTACAAATGACAGAAAATAAGGAAAAGCATAAGCTTTCAGCAGTTAGAATAAATCACTGTCTCCCCCTAGTGGATGGATCGGGAACAGGCATCACATTCAGAGCTGTGTTTACTGTTTTTTTTAGCTCAGACTCTTGACCTCCCCATCCTGTCCCCACTGTTCTCCACAGGATGATAAGTACTGGGCCCGGCGCAGAAAGAACAACGTGGCAGCCAAGCGGTCAAGGGACGCCCGGCGGCTGAAGGAGAACCAGATTGCCATCCGCGCCTCCTTCCTGGAGAAGGAGAACGCCGCTCTCCGCCTGGAGGTAGCGGACTTGAGGAAGGAGCTGGGCCGCTGCAAGAACGTTCTGGCTAAATACGAGACCCGGCACGGGCCCCTGTGAGCCCTCAAATCCCCACCCTGCCCATCCAGCACCACCACCATGCCCCCTCCTTCCACCTGACACCCACTCTACTCCCCAGACCTCCCTTCCCCTCGAATTTGAAGGACAATGTGTCTCTTTTGGTGGCACTGAATCCCCCCCCCAGTACCCCCTGGCCCTTGAGCCCCTTCTCCTCCCACACCAACACACACCTGTATGATTCTGGTATTTTTGACTTCTATCATAAGCTTCAATTTGTCTGTACCTTCTTTTAATTTCTGTACACATTGTTTGACTAAATATATATACATATACATGGATAATGATATATATATATTTACACCTGCATACTTCCCACTTTAATGTACTGTGAGGAGTCATGAGCCAACCCACCAGCTGAATCCCCCCACCCGCTACCTTCCACCTTTTGAGAAGTGATGCCATGTTTGTTGTTCACTTTCATACCGATTTTATACGTGACATCAGGACTGAAAACTGTCATTTCCTTTCTTCTTCGTGTCCCCGTAACGAGCTTAAGCGCCCGCTTCCTGCTTCAAACTTGCGTTTTGTTTTTGTTTTTTAAGCCCTGTTAAAGTTGTCTTCTTCTGTTAACAACATCATCTCTTTTTTTTGTTCATGTTGTATTTTAGTTGGGTAACTCCGCCCCCCCCTACGTAAAGAAAACATGTCTCTTCCTCTGCAGTCATGCCCATTTTTCTTTCCTTCATCTCTCTCGGACACTGAGCAATAATTCCTGTCCACCGCTAACCCGACACAAGCATCTCTTAGCTCCGCCTTCTCTCCACATTGCATCCTAGCTCGTTAACTAAGCTAACGTTAGTTGACATCTGCACTAATGCGTGTCTCACAATCTGATCCAGTGCAATGTTTCCACTCGCTCAATTTCCTCTAACTCATATTTATCTACCTTTTATTTCTCAGATGGAAGATTGTTGTTTTGAGAAAAAAAATATATATATATACATATATATTTCTGTTGATATAATTGTTAGTATTAATACTACTCTTGACATTGATGTTATTTAGCCTCCTTGTTTTTCAGATTTAAGCATGATTTCTTTGACAGAATGAAAAGCTCTTTGCGGTTATTTTCTCCCTTTTTTTTTCCTTTTTTTTGTTTTGTTTTTGCAAAGTTGTTGATTTTTTTTTGCTTCTGTTCAACTTAGCATGATTAATATGAGTGTTTTTACTTTAGAAATCAATCCAGATGTCTGTAGTCTCTCCTCATAGCTCTATGTTTGCCTTCTTTTAAAGATGGCTGTATGAATGTAAAAGGTGTTGACAAAAAGAGTTGGATGGTGTTGTCCAATACTGTGGTTAACCCAATCGATTTGTTTACTGCAGACCAAACGATTCACAACAGAGATGATATATTGGTTACAAGAGATATGTTTATATAGACCTATTCTATAAGTTGTTCTTTTTTGTACAGTATTTTTCCTATACATTACTGAACTGTGTATTTTAAAGGCACAACAGATCCAGAAAATAATTAAAGAATACAAATGTATAACTCAAAGACAAATGCATATACTGGTATTTTGATATTCTGTAACAGGTAGGATGTGGTAGATTTACAGAGATTTGTGGACATCCAGCGGCACCCAAAAAGCTCCCAGGCATCGTTATTATTATGACACTCTGGTTTGTGCAGGTGCCACGTTTAGGCTCCCATATAAATCTCATGTAACTTAAAAGAAGCAAATGCGGTTCAGAAGAGAGATTTGGGCCCGCGCACGTTCACCGCGGTTAGCGTCACAGCCTCCCCGGGGATCCGAAGCTGCCCGTGAGCAAGCTTTTAATTGAATTTCCTGCTACATAATGAAACACTTCACACAGCTCGTTGGTTTTCTTCTTCGATGGGATGAAGTTACTATGAAGGAAGGGAAATCTGTCGCTGGTTACTCTTGCTGCTCCGTGCGATTGGTTCCTTTTGGCCAATGCACTTGTAACGTGTCCCGAACCTGAGTGATAGACACCGAGAAGCTTTTTTTTTTTTCTTCTTCTTCTTTAAACAAAGGCTGACAGTGAAGATCTACAACGTTGTTGTAGTGTAGAAATTTCCGAGCATTCAGTCCAATGCTGAAGCTTCAGCTTATTGTATGGAAGTTCAGATGTGCCAGCATTAAAATGAAATTAATGGAATTTTTCTGCAGTGGATCATCTGGTAACAAAATTACCACCCACCACTTTTTTTGGTCCTTATCCTTGTTTTTCTACACGTAATAAACTCAGTTTGTGGTTTTATGTGCTGGAGTATTGGAGATGATATTCCCAAATACGGAATTATTCATGTAATCCAGCACGTATGGCATTTTCCACATGAATGTTACATTCCTGCACAACTCACATTTTAGTAGGTTAAAGTCTAATTTATCTATTTGCATTTTGAAAGTAAGTAAATCTCTATAATTGGTAAACAGAACTTTGATTTGAGTAAATGATTTTATTTTCTTACTGGCATCCCTGGACTTGTTATGTTTGTGGTGACGTGTTGAAATTTTAGTCGTGAATTTCCATTTTGTTCTTTACGAAGTTGGAAGAAAAAAGGAACGACCCCAAAAAAGGCTGATATCCGCCCAGTAAAACAAAACTCACACATTCCAGCCTCAGCACCAGAGTCTGTTGAACGTAATCTATCTGATCCAAAGGCGTGCGCGATGTAAAATGATTATTTTGTAACTGTAAACTATCATCTCAGTGCTTCAGCGCTTTAGACGTTTCCTTCTCCATCCTAGCTGCACAGGCACACGGGAGAGCGTAAACAGAGTTTGCGGTAAAGACTGGAACAATGCCTCCAGAATCTCCGGAGCACCTTTCTATGAAATCGTATGCCGTGCGTGTATATATAAATACAGGAGAAAGCCAATAATGAACCCACGTGTATCCCAAAATGACCTCACTGTCAAGTGATTTCACTACCTCACCCGGAAATGTTATCCATAATCCTGAGTCTATTCCAGTGCCTTGAATACACCGACTGTTTCCCAGTCTCTCAGCAATGTAGTTTTCATCGCAGCGCCACTCGGATAAGTTCAGATCTGCACTGAAGGGCTTCTTAGTGCATCAAAATATCTACACATTATATATACTAATAACTCTCTCATGTCTTATTTTGGACATTACACCAGAACTGTAACCATTGTATTCATGGCAACACCAAAAGACTGTTTCAGAGTGTGCGGCTTAGAGTACTCGGTCTTGCTTGTCATGGAATGGATGCATAACATTTACTTGTGCTGTTCAGCCCTCAGCCTCTGTACATTGTAGTGTCTAATAAAATCCCAGTGCTTTTCTGCTTTGTCGTATTTTTCTGCCCGATTACAAAAGATCGCAGACGTTTGGTAAGAGTCCGTGTGGCACTGAACTCTGGGTCAGACTCGTTATTAAAAATGTGTTTTCTGATGTTAATTTGTGACTTTTATAGCTTTTTTTGTGCCTGACATGAAAAGCATCAGACAGGGACGTGATTGTTGACCAATCACATTTGAGCTGGCTGCGAACAGTGTGACAGTCAATTTGCTTTTTTTTTTGTGTCAGCATCCTTATTTTTTAAAAAAAAAAAAAACTGGCACACAAAACAGGAAGCCATGATGATCCAGTAACTGCCCTGAAAATCCAGTAAAACTGAGAAACTAATTAACTCAATCGGTTAAATATTTATTAAAATAAAACTAGAAAAGGATGGATGAGTAGTTTTTAAAGTAAACTGAACTGCACATCAATCTTCTCTTCAAAAGCACTCAATACGTGCTGTGTGAGCTTATACAACCTTCATTTACTTAATCTGAAGAATCAGTTTTTCCTTAATGTGTTCAGAAGTTTCCACTATGGGGTGCGTTGAGAGGACGCCCACATGTCATAGTGCTGAGAACGGCCGTTCCGAGTCCGACCCGCAGCCCTTTGCTACCTGTCTGTCCTCGTTTTCCTGTCGTTTCTTCACTTATCTAATAAAACTGAAAAAGGCCAAAAAGAGACTCCAGTCTGAGCACTTCCCATAATCGCAGACACTCGTCGGCGGAGGCTCAACTCATCCTCTTCGAGCCACGATCTGATTCCTTGGGTCAACAGCTGCAGCTCGTGGCTGTAGGTGAGGGTGGGAATGTAAATCACCCAGTAGATGGACCAGTGGGATCACAGGATGGTAACCTCAGAGATATTTCCTGCTTTGTGTGAAGAGAAATGATGCTTTGTGTCTAAGAAACGCAAAGTAATGTAAATATCACACCGAATACTGAATCCTGTTTGGATTCGTGCTTCAGGGCCTTGAATCACTTTTTAAAATTATGATCATAAAAGTTTAAATTAATAAGTTTAAAAGTGTATAAATCAGGCTTGACACTCACTACCAAAAATATATTTGTACCACAAAGAAGTAAAAGTTGCGACATTAGCGCTGAATATAATATAACGAATAATTAAGCAGACTCTGGGGCTTTCTTGTTAAAGCAGAATTACATATTTATCTGTTGTAGAGGGATATTAAAAAAACCCAGCAGCAGCCTAAATGAAGAGCCTGAGATGTGCTCGTCTAAATCCTCTTAGAAACTCAATAAAGGCAGATTCTAGTTTCTTTTGTATGGAGCGTCTAATGAGAGCTGGATTAGACACAGACACAGTCAGTGCAAAGTGAATTTAGGAGAAAACCTGAAAGAGATGCAGACGTAGGGTTTCCTCGTTTTTTTATTCTCACATCAGAAAGGTGGAGAAGCTTTCGTGGTTATGCAGCACCGTTAACAGCCAACAGAAGATATGAGAAGAATTTTGTTTCCCCTGCAAAGGCCAGGAGCATGTCATTAACAGAGCAAAGAAGAGAATGTACAAACATTACAAAACAGTGGTTAAGGAAATCATTCAGCTCCAGACATCACTAAGAGGAAAGCAACAGGATTATAACTGTACAAATCAGGAGCCGTGAAGCTAATTTACAAAACCAGCAGCATGAGACAAAGACAGGAACACGAGGATTTCCCCACTGATCAGACCCTTCCAAAGACTGCAGACGGGGAACGCTGCTCAAACCTGAGCAGTCAGTGGAAACAAATGTAATACTGGACCACAGTACAAAGGTCGTGCATACAAACACTGTTCACATTACAGAGAAAGTGGAGAAAAAAAAATCATTCTGTCTCCTTTATCCACCTCACCTGATTTCTCTCTCATGGTTTGGCTCATTACCAAAAATCCCACCTTACCCGAGTCAAACTGAAATAGCATGAGTCGCTTTCATTACGCCTGCCCACCAGCAGGGGGCGCCAACTACTTAGAAAAGAAACAGTGGTTCTCTGAAAACTGCATCTGGTCACAGAAACAAAGCGCTGTGCATTAGACCAAAAAAGTGCAAATGTGAATCAGATGGATTTAAAACATCACTGTAACTTTACAGAAAGCAAAAAACCAAAAACAACTCCATGTGTTCACAAAACGTTACCAGCAGAATACACTGAAGCACTGAGCGGCTCTACACACTGTACATGTGTAACTACTGAGAAGAGTTTTCAATGTCGGCTTGTTTGGCATTGAACGTGTGGTTAGATCACTACTTTGCTTCTTGTTTGATCAAGTTTAAATCAGTTTTCCATTTGAAGAAATGCTTCAGTTTAGACAACATTACAGACCTTTGGCTTCTGTTAAATAAAAGTTAAATTCAGCTCCTACATTAACACTAACATCTGATATAACATCATATAAGAGCTACTGATCAGAGTGGATATTTAGCACCTCATTCGATATCCTCCCTCATGTTCAAAACACTGAAACTGATCAATCTCCGAGTTTTGACACTCAAATAACCCCCAAAGTGGAATGTGACTGACTTCAAGTGATACAAAAGACGGCTATCAAATTTCTCAAATACTCTTTCAAATATTTATGAATGTGCCAAGGTCAACAGCAAGTGTAAAAGTTCAAAATTCCCTTCCTGACTGTCAAAGGATTTGTTTTTATTTTTACAAAACGGCTATAAAGTAGCTTTTCTTCATTGGCTTAAAAATCTGTTTTCCTTGTTAGAAAACAGTAAACAATTCACGGTCATTGTTTTCGTAAACCTTACGGCTGTCGTTGCAGCTTCAGCGGGCAGTCGAGGGAGTCGCCCCGCGCTCGGCGCGAGAGCACGAGGGTGACGGGACGGGAAGCGCCCTTGTCTGGGGTCGCGGTCACGAGTCGAGGAGGGTGTCTGAGCTGGGAGCGTTGTAGAGGTACTTCCAGATGGCGTAGTAGTGCACTGCCGCCGCCAGCGCCACGAACATGTGCCAGATGGCGTGGGCGAATGGGATGACGCCATCGCTCTTGAAGAAGAAGACACCGAGGCAGTAGATGAGTCCTCCACAGGCCAGCTCCTGAAGACCGTCTGTGTTGCTCTGCAAAAACACACAAAAATGGATACATGTAACATATTCATTAAACATTACTGTTTAAAACACATTGCTGACTGTGCACTGATTGGTTGAATCGTTACAACCTGACCAGTGAGCAGGTCGGTAGGAAGAATCGGGCAGCTGGTTTGTAGCAGCTGAACCCTCAAAATGAGATTGAGTAAACCGTTTTTTGTAAGCGCATCGTGGACGGCGCCGTTTTCACAGACGGAAGACAAAGTCGAAAATAACTTTGCAAGAATGATTTGCTACACCTGAGCAGCTAACCCAAGTAAAGTGTGCAGGACATAACAGGAGCCAATGGACATAATGAAATATCAGAAAGTGCACACAAACCACCAAAGCACCACAAAATCCTGCAAAATATTAACAATAAAACATGCAGCATGCACAGAAAAGGATTACTGAGATGTGTGGCTGCTATTTCCACTGAGACCAGTAGAAGCAGAGATTAAAACAAAGATGAGGCGCCACAGCAGGATTCAAAAATTATTTTTCAGCTCTGAATCGTTTTATATGAATCATTAAATCACAAAGAAAACTTTAAATGCATCGTTTGTTTTCTGTGAACTCTTGTCAAACACCCTAAAGAGGAAGTAAGACACACTGCTAACAGCTCCACCCTGCAGATGTTCGGTTTATCGGCTGAGATGAAGAAGTGATGTGAGGGTTTAAGAATTAAGCTGAATGTGATTGTGCTTGTATTAATAAAAATATATATTACCATTGATGTCACCACAGATGCGGGAAAAAATCCCATCGACAAATAGAAGGCCAGCTCAACGAGTTTATACCTGTGGAGGCAAAAAAGGGGGGAAAGTGTGTGTTTACGAGGTCTGTGCCATGCAAAGGAAAAGTGAAACACAAGCAAGGCAGGGAGATGATCAGATCTGACACAGGCGGCGTTTGGAGGATGTGACAAAGTGAAATCATGAGGAAAACGGATTTTCGGGCATGAGTGTAGAGTTTTGAGACGTGTTTTGTATCCAGGGAAGAGTTTCGAAGCACTGTGGTTACTTCAGACTAACACAGAAAGACATTTCTAGCTATTGTGATTTTTCTTTCCTGGCTTTCTCAATAAAATGTAAAAAAAACAAATGAAGAGTGAAAAACACTTTGCGAGCTCACTTTTCATGGTAGTTGAAGACATAAATGGTTCCAGCAGCAGCCATGAGCCACACAAACCAGCGCATGTGTGCTGCGAGGGGGCCCAGTTCACGCAGGTTCAACCTGAATAAAGATGAAAATCCAAATTAGATCAAGTTAGATCTCCGTGTATGACTCAGGTCCAGGGGAGTATATCATGCTGTCTGTCTGACACTCACCAAGGTGTGTAGGAGGCAGCAATGAAGAAATAGATGACCACTCTGTCACACATGTGAAAGCAATGCTCCACTGACCTGAAACAGACGACACTCAGGTTTATGCCGTTTTCCTCAACAACCATCATTTTCATGCCCACTTAGGCAGAAACATTTCTGCCTAACAGGACGTGAGATTGTGTTTCCATACCAGCAGTGAGTAATTTGCAAGTGTATGGAAATTATTGTCTGAGCAGGACAGACAAAGAACCACAAAAAAAAAAAAAACAATGAGGTCGCAGGTCATTTGTCTGCAGCGTGACGCAAATGCAAACAAAGTGAATTTGCTAACACGCTAAAGGTAAACAAAAGAAGATGGGACATACGAGTCACCATAACAGGTCAACATTTCACAGTATCAAAGTATGAGAAGCGCCACACCCACTCACATGATTTTAAAAAAAGCAAAAGAAATAATGAAATGGAAAGAACACGCTAACGAAAGCATTACTCGATACACAGTAATGTTGTAATTCGCAGCGGCGTCTGAATATGTAGCATTATGTCCTGCGCAGTGATCAAAAATGATAGAATGACAGAAAAATGGCCGATGGATGAGAAGA